TTTACGGAGAACGTAGCACCGGGGAGTCCGGGGGGTTTGGAATACCCCTCGGTGTACGAAGATCTTGCGAAGCACTAATTCGTTCGGTATTCCATACCCCGCAGACCATGATTCTCCATAATTTTGGAACCTGGAACCTGTAGGGTATGGAATACTCGTCAAGAAAGGAAGATTCCTTGATCTTTTATGAAAATAGCTTATCGCTTTATCACTCAATTATTCTAAACAAAACACCAGCGTATTTGTATGATAAAATAACTTACAGAACAGATGTTCATAATTTAAATTTGAGGTTTAGGGGATTGATAAGTCCACCATTACACATTACATCTTTTTTCGAAAGATGCTTCACTTTTAACATCTACAAATTGTATAATCCCCTCCCAAATTCTCTAAAATCCAAAAATCTAAAACAATTTAAACGCATGTGCAAGTCAATCATGCTAGAAGCTCAGGTATAGTGGTCAGGTAGTGTGCTAAAATCGTAGATGTTACAATGTTACTGTTGCTAAACTTTATAATTTATGTTTTAATTTTACTATTTTTTTCTTTTTTCTTGTTACATGACGCATACAACTGAATTTATAACATTTATGTGATCATTTAAACAATCGTTATGGGTTGAGTGGGAGAGCAGCGAGTAATTTTTATTACAAGCTGAACTCCGCCCTTTGAGCTGTAATACTATCATTTTCCTTTCTACATTTTGCAGCTGCTACTCAATAAAGGCATTATTATTATTATTATTATTAAATGTAGCACAAGAGCAATTAGAGCTGAATGTTTTTACGGAGAACGTAGCACCGGGGAGTCCGGGGGGTTTGGAATACCCCTCGGTGTACGAAGATCTTGCGAAGCACTAATTCGTTCGGTATTCCATACCCCGCAGACCATGATTCTCCATAATTTTGGAACCTGGAACCTGTAGGGTATGGAATACTCGTCAAGAAAGGAAGATTCCTTGATCTTTTATGAAAATGTAGCACAAGAGCAATTAGAGCTGAATGTATTGATGGAGAACGTAGCACCGGGCCGGGGGTCTGGGGGGGTAAGGAATACCCCCCCAGTGTACGAAGATCTTGCGAAGCACTAATTCGTTCGGTATTCCATACCCCACAGACCATGATTCTCCATAATTCTGGAACCTGGAACCTGTAAGGTACGGAATACTCGTCAAGAAAGGAAG